AGAAGAGATGACTGAGAAGGGGCTTCATCACAGCATGTAAGTATCTAAGGGGGAAGGGTGCCAAGAGGATGGACCAGGCTCTTCTTGGTGTTGCCAAGCAATAGGACAAGAGGCCATGGGTAGAAACTGATGCACAGGAAGTTCCACTTCAGTATGAGGAAGAACTTTACTGTGTGGGTAACCTTGCACTGGAACAGATTGTCCACAGAGGTTGTGGAGTCTCCCTCAACCATCTGGACGCAGTCCTGTGCCATGTGCTCTAGGACAGCCCTGCTTGAGCAGCGAGGTTGGATCAGATGACCCACTGTGGTCCTTTTCAACCTCACACATTCTGTGATGCCTTGAGTTCCATTTGAATTATTTGAAACAATCATGATTTCTTCTGCTCTCGTCGAAGAGCAGAGCGTGTTTGCTCCTTCCTTGGTTAGGTTTGCCACAGAAAAAAGTTTTGGGGTGCATACTGCTGCAGCTGTTACTGAGTGGTTCCGCCTAACGCGGAAACTGTGGGGAAGTTACTTAATTGTCGTGGAATACCAGGACGGGGGTGGTAAATGGAGGTTGCACCGGGAAGGGGCGGGTTTCCCTTGCGGTGGGAGGGCAGGGCCCGCCCCTCAGGGCGGCCGCGCAGGCGCCGCGGGCCGTGCGGGTCATGGCGGGGCCCGCGTACCCCGCCTGGGTCACCCGCTGGGTGAGCGGCCAGTGGCGCCAGAGCAAGCGGCCCCCGGCCATCCGCCCGCCCCGCCCGCTGGCGCTCGCCGACAAGGTGGGAACGCAGGGAGGGCAGGGGGGAGGCGTGAGTCCGGGGAGAGGTGCGGGGGAAGGCGGGCCCGGCCCGCGGGGAGGGTCGTGCTGCTGACACCCGCTGTTCTGCGGGGCTGCGAGGCGGAGAGGCTGGTTTGGGCCGTGGAATTAGTTCACAGGCTCAGTGGAAAGGATGGTTTCCTCACACTGCAACCCAAAGTCTGCTTCTTGTGCTGTTCTGTATGTGAGCCACGCACATAAAACACTTGTTGCAGCATAGCCCGTACCTTAAGAATTCAGTCAGGTGTTGGATGGTTGCAGCGGGGCTAATCTTCGTGCTGGCGTCAACTCTGCCCAAACCAAAGCTGAGATCTTTAGTGCTGCATTTTCTCACCTGCCTCGACTCCATATTTAACTTCTCTGGAGATTTATGCACTGTGGAGGTTGTTAGAATAAAACCCCAAAGACCTGAGTCTTCTGGTTGTGTCCTTCCCTTCTAGAGGCGACGTGCATTACGGAGATGTCCGTAATGATGGCCTGCTGGAAACAGAACGACTTCAACGACGCCGCTTGTGCCGAGGAGATCCGGGTGTTCTATGACTGTGTGGCAAAAGCAGAAGTAATTAAAGTCTCTTTTATCTTCCTGAAGGCTAGTAGTAGGGAAGGTGGAAGCCCCCAGTCATTTTTTGTGTGCCAGCAGTAATAATGTTCTCTGAACAATTTGTTTGGTGGTGTAACTCATTTGAGCAATGAAGCTGGTGAAGGATCTGGAGCACAAGTCCTGTGAGGAGAGGTTGAGGGAGCTGAGGTTGCATGCAACATGTGGATTATATTGTAGCTGGGGAGATGTGCAGTTTAGGCAAGTTTCTACAACTGCTGATTCATGCAGTCAGGAAATAGCTGATCCAATACCTGCGTTATCTAGACAGTGGGGGAGAGTGGTGAGTTAGGATTCCCAAATTCCAGTGTCATAAGTCTATAAATAGTTTTGTGATTGCAGGAGTGAGGATGGAGACAAGTTGGTAGAGAAATAACCAATGTTTTCAGTAATCCTCATAACAAACAGTTTTCAGGATATGTGAGGTCGTTATGGCAATTCTCAATTCTCTGAAAATTAGGAGCTCTTTTAGGCTGTTTCTGACTTTGAAGGCTAGACATCTTGAAAAGTAAATTTCATATTGCTTGGAAATTAGATGTTTCTAATTATATAATATTATATATTAATATAATAATACTATATGATAAGCTAAGGGTTGGGGGGTTTTTTTGTCTTTCAGAAACAGCGCAGGAATCAAAACGAGGACGCTCTGTCATCCAGGGGAAACTTACCTTCAAGCAAAGTGAACAAGCTCCTGAGGAGGTTTCCTCAGATCAGACATTATACATAATGTGCTTTACTAAGGGGACTGTGGATGAGCAATTAAAGTTGGAGTCTTTGGCAAAAAAGAGAAAAGTCAACTTGAGTGAGTGTTTGATGTCAGGTGGTACCTGTCAGCACTACTCTGTCGGTCTTGACCCATCTTTTGATTCCAGAGTATCAGCTGATTTTGTTCATGAGATTCCTGGGTCTTGCAGTGTTAGGATTTCTGCAGTATGTTGTTCAGCTAGCCAGAACTAGCCTACTCGGGTCCTCACTGTTAAATAAAACCTTTTAGAAATGCATTTAAATGCATTTCCTAACAGTTTGGGGGTGACTTTTCCTAACATATAAGCTTCCTACCTAGCTTTGGAGCTGCTGTCGAGAAGTGCTCAGGTTCAAACACTAAGCCAGCTGAAAATTGGTAGTAATCTCATGGCTTGTACTTCTGCAGGAGTGGATACACAATTTGGTTCCTAATTCCTGCTGCTGTACAAAAAGGCTATAGAATGTGCAAAAAATCCCCACCAAAGTACCTTGTTAATACACAATACATTGGTAAGTATCAGATATAACTTTAACGTAGAAGCTTATGATTTAGGCACTCTGATTTGCAGGTGGCACAGGTGTGGTGCCACACCAGTTTAATTATTTTGTCTGGACTATAATAAAATAATGCAAGACTGGTGTTTGACTTGGGCAACTCATAATCTACAACAAAATGTTTCACTGTTTTTTGGTAAAAAAAAACAAAAGAGGGAGAGAAAGTTCAAGCATGAACTGGTAACTGAAATCATGTAATGAATTATTAGTTTCTGTGTGGGGTTTTTTTTCCACTACAGTACCACAAAACTTCAGGACCAGTACCTAATTGCTGAGAAAAATGCAATGTCTTGGAAAACTACTGTTATAACCATTTATATCAGTAATTCTTTCAGGCATGTAGAAAAAGCAGAGGAAGAAGGAAGTCAGGCATACACAGACTGTGAGCTACCCACAGGTGACTGGAGAGTTGTTGGAGTTGGAGCCGACTTCTCTGGAGCCCCAGGCTGATGATACCTGTTTTATCCCATAAATTTTGGTCAGGTGAATGTTTCCAGTTATTGAAGAAATTTCCATTTAACTATAACTTACAGTGCCTCATGATTGGAGGGTACATGAACAGGGTAGCTTGTTCTGTTGTTGCTATTATGGCATAATTGGGCCTTTCAGAGAACTTGGGGTCAGTAAGAACATACTGTCCACATCTGAGTTTGGAAAACACTTTGGTTCTGTGACATTCTGCATTTTCAGTCCAAAAGACACTGAAAGGAAATGCTACTTCCTGGTACTTTGTTTCTGCTGTCTGCGATGAACTGTCTTATATAAGAGGCTGTAACAGAGAAGCCAATACCTTTTTATAGTTTTACTTCTGAAATTCTGCACAGCTCCCACTAATCTGAACAGCTATTTTTGGATCATACGGCTTCACAGTGAGCTTCACAAATTCAGTGAAGGGTTTGGGTTTCTGTCTGACCTTTTACATGTCTATTGTAATCTTGAAATTACTATGCTAAGGTTTTCCAGTCCTCATTTATTTAGAGGAAGAAAGAAGGAAACAGAATGCTTTTCAGGTGCACCCAGGTTTTACAGTGCTTCCTTTAAAAGTACTGTAGCAATTCTTTTGCCTCAGGATCCCTCGCTGTAACCAAAACCCCTCCAGTTACTGATTGTCCTTGGCAATTTTGTATCTCACTGTTAAACTTACAGTCGGTGTTTAAATGCATTCTGTGACATGCTCATATTGGAGATCACTCCACTAATAGTTCATGTGCGTAACTGTAGGGAATGACACTGTTCTTTCTGAGCTCCATGATGCTGTTGCTGGGGAATAAAACTGGGTTCTGGTGCTGAGCCCACTGGTTAAGAACATTGCTGCAGAGACCTGTATGTGATTGCGTGGTGGGGAAAGAATTAAACAAAAGCTGACTAGCTGTTCTACCCTCCTAAGTCGGATTTACGGGATTTAAGCAAATCTGCTGGAATTCCTTGATCTTATTCCTGTTCCTTACAGCTTGAGTATTATACCAGCTTTGGTACGATTGCTGTTAACTACCTCTCTTTTTAGGCTTTCACTGAAGATCTCTGTGGAGGAAGCATTAGTATTTCAGCTGGTCTTGATGAATAGTAGTCCTGCCAGTTCAGGAGAAATGGGTTGAATTCCAGAGAACCAAGAACATTTTAGAAGATGATACTTCTTGTTCCAAAATTCAATACAGAATAATCTGGAAAAATCAAAACAGAAAGACTCTGTAGGGAATCACAGGCTTATTTTAATAGAACTGTGCTTGTATCAGGGTGAGAAGGTGATTAGTGTTAAATAGTGGACTTAGATATTTACAACTACTTCAAATTTACCCATACAAGGAAGTTGAGTATCTGTTTTACCTTATCTGTAGATACATTACCGATCTAAACTGACGTAGTTATATTGGTATAATTTCCTTCTTTTTCTTCCTCTGCCTTGGAGAGGGCCATGTAGCCATGAGAAGCTTTTGAGAATCCTGAGATCCACCTCTCTCAAGAAAATGTCATTATATGTGCCAGAAAACCAGGGGAGTCTTGGCAAGAAGGAAGTAGTTCCAAAAGAAGACCCCCCACAGGGGAGACAACTGCAAACCCCACTATATCTGTCCACAGTTCATCATTCTTCCAAAAACTGAATACAGACTTAGACTTCTATTGCTTTCGGTGCACTGGCCTGTGTTTCCTTTAAAATTACTTTATCTAGGAAATTACTTTATCTAGGAAAACCTTGCTTTTTGAGAGGGAAGCAAATTCGAAGCTACTGTGAGAGAAATCCAGTGCAGGCTTTTGCTAGAGATTTTGAGCCTGTGTGTCAGGGCTAAACAGTGAGTGTCTTATGGGAGGGAGTTCTGAAGGAGCATCAATAACTTCTACTGCTGATGAAGGAGCAAATTGCTCTGAATGCTAGTAGATTTTCTGTTTGTGTCTCCAGTATATCCTTTCCTTGTGTTTTCACTGGAGTAAGTGGTTTTAAATTCCAACACAGTCCTGTATTTTTATTTGTTCCTTTTTTACCAGTGCTGCCTGAGAGTTACAGCGTGATGTTGCATCTAAGCTATTTCCATCCTCTGTTGCCCTGATCGTCTGCCTCCCTCACTACAGGATATAGGAGATTTGCTCCTAATTAACTGAGTGTAATTCTTGGCCAAATGCACTCCAGAAAGAGCTCCTTCCTACCACTCAGCAACTCCTATAAAAGGTCCAGCAGGTAGTGAAATTTCCTTGCCTTTGATGACTGACTGAGGATGAGGCAACACAAAACTGTCAAGTGAAGTGAGTAATGGGCAATAAGTGAAGGAAGAAAAAAGGCTTTTTGTCAAGCCAATGGATTTTTAGCAGCCCATTCCTTGTTTTTATGCGGAAGATTTTGGAAGTGCTACTTAGCAGACTTGGCCAGAAGTGAGCTCAGTTCTTAAGGTGACCTTCATGTTTCATGCTAGAGAATACCAGGAGTTAATCCTTCCAAAATCAGAATATAAGTATAGGAAATGCCCATTAGACTGAGCTGAGAAGAAGCACAGGGAACGTTTAAAAAAAATCTGAGATTGAACAGCTTCAAATGGGCCAATTCCCTTCTTAGATTTAATAGTGTTAAAAACTTTTAGCCTCCGACCCTAATTCAGATGAAAGAGCAGTAAGCTGAAAACACTACCCCCCCCATGGGATTGTTCATGGTAATACAATAATGATCAGCCCTCTGGAAAGCATCCTAGCCAATTGAGGGAAAATAAAGCCCAAGGTCAAGGAGAAGCTTGATGGAAAAGATCTCTGGAGGCAATACCCATGGGGGCAAGATGCAGGCTGAAAATTGGGAATGCACCTTGGAGAAGGCTGTGCCACCTGTGGGTTTTCCATGGGGAGATCTGGAAGCTGCTTAACGTAAAGTTTTCTGGGTCCCATTTACCTGGCTTCAAGTATGAGGAGAGCTGACCTCGGGAAGCTGCAAGCAGGTAATCGAGGAGGCAGCGGTGGGGGGATAAAGTCCAGATTCCTTCCAAGAAGTCTAATCTCTGGCAAGTGTGCGCGCACACGCCGTTTCCTTCCCCAGTTGTTGCCGGGGGCTTTGCGGTAGGACACGGCCCCGGCTCCTCGCCGTGCTGCAGCCTCTGTGCCGCGGGGAGAGGAGGAAGAGGCAGCTGCGGGAAGGAGGCACTGCAGGAGAGGAGCGGGCGGCGGCCCGGGCGCTGGGGAGGCGGAGGCTGGCGCTGGGAGAAGCGCGTACCTGGAGCACGGGGGAGGCTGGGCAGAGGAGGGGACAGCGGGGAGCGGAGCGGGCTGAGGGTGCGCCCCGCCGCCTGCGCTCCCTCCTCCCGCTTTCAGATGCGCTAGGTAAATTCTGGGGCGTGCTGTCCTCCCTTATTTCTCTCCCATCTTTTTCCCCTTCCTGAAGAGAAGACTCAAGGAGAAGAGATGGGGAAAGGAAAGGGAAAGTGAAATTCTAAGATGCTGCTGGGAACTTTGATCCCTTCCCTTATATCACTTTCCCTGCGTAGAAATGGAAAAGGCATCCTGCTGCCCCCGGTGCGGAGGGGCTAGCGTGGGAAAGCAGAGCCCGGCAGCTGAACGAGAATGTGATGCTTGAGGAACCTTCTGCCCACTTTTTACAGGAGGGATGGAGATCTCCAAAATACTCGGGCTCCTGGTGGAGCTCTCGAGTCTGCTATCCTGTCTCAGATGTGTGGAGGTAAGAAGTGGTTATTTTTCTATCTACTTGTAAGAAGTCACATGTCTCTTTTAATATCCTCACTGTAAGTGGATCTTGTTATTACTGGAATATGTTTTCTGGAGCATCTAGGCAGCTGTGGTCTCTGGGAAGGGCTGGGGGTTTGGGGATGGATTTGTTTCACTGAGCAAATGAAATTCAGAAAAAGAAACAAAGCAGGAGAGCAGGATGCACAAGGGCTTGCAGATGCTTTGGCTTGGGTTTCCTATGTTTCTCAGGCTCTGCAGTGACCCTGGCAGGAGAGATCCTTTGTTTCTGTTCTTTGCTGATTGCCCCTCTTGCTGTTGTGGACAGATGATTTATAGCCACACGACCTGGGGCAATGCCTGCAGCACAGACTGTTTGCACTTAATTTTGTTGGTAGTGATGGTCAGAGTTGGGATGTTTTGGAAGCTGCTACAGGAACTGGCAGCAACTAATATTTCACTAGAAGAGAAATATATTACTTGGACTGCAGTGCTTTTGTTTATGGTCCAGCTCCAAAAAGAGTGGGTTCAGACTCTCATATATACCCTGTTATTAGTCTGACCCATCCCTCTATCACCTGCAGGTTTACTTGTGTGTGCAGGTGTACATTGAAAACTAGGAGCTGAGGGACCTGCTTTGTGGCTCAGTCACCCCTTTGGTGCAATCACTAAAGTGCAGCTTAGCTCACTTTCCTCTCTCTGCAAAGAACTTTGAGATCCTCAGAGAAGTCCTTCAGTATTGTTGGTTCACAAACCATTATGTGGCCTTGCAGCAGTCTGATACATGCAGGTAGATGGATTTTTGGCTGAAAAGCATTTTTCATTTAAGTGCTGATTTATCTGTGCATCCCCTTGTGCATAAGCACCTGAGACCTGATCTGCTGTTTCTGAACCATGTCAGGAATTCATCCTCCAAATGCAGTATCACATTCTGACTGCTGGAGGGTGATGCTGGAGCTTGGCCATGGTTGTCAACATCTGCTGGACGATATTCATAAACTTGATTTGAAAATGTCATCTAACATGAGTAGGTGTTGTTCGTGTCAGGTTTCTGTGGGAATTACCTCTGCTTATTCCAGAAGTGGATTTGGTTTCATTCCAAATTTGAGAGAGGCAAAATTACTGCATTTTGAAGAAAACCACAATTGTTACCAATAGCTAGTATTCTTTAGCTGCACACTTCTGCTCTGTGAATTACAAGTCTTTGTTCATATAAAAGTATTAGAAATGTTCATTAAAAATACTTAGAAACTAATTAAACTACAAGGAGCTAGCAGAAACACGTACAGTTTCTTCTTTTCACTCTGGGTCTGTGAAGATCTTGCATTTGCTTGCACACTTTGTAGTGGTGTTGAGTTGAGATCCCTATCTCTCAGCCGAAAGTGAAGTTATAACCACAAAAAACACTGCCAATAAGAGGAAATGTAGTTTTGAGTCCAGACAGGATGCTAGAATTTTGAGGACTTTGTTTCATATTTTTTACTTTTAGGTATTTAACCCTATTTGGATAATACCATAAGCCATATCATATTTTCAAGTATTAAAAACAAAATCCTCAAAAAGCCTCGTTGGATTTTCTTCTTTAAATGTTTCCGGCTTCGTACATAGATGTTTATTACCATTTTAACAGGTATCCTGGGGGCATCATCCTATCATGTAGATATATCTCTGTTACTGTGGCCATAGATGACTTATCCTGTAAATGGAGAGAGAATAAGTGGTTATTCGTTATTTTTCTTACTGATAATAATGATTTTCTTCTAGCTTTCCTTTCCATAGGCATCTCAGACTTCCAAGTCTACTGGAAAAAAAACAAGCAGAGCCCTGTAAGGTAGTGCTAGAGTAAATCTCTGCAGGCCAGTAATTATTCATTTTGCTGTTAGTGGACAGAGCTATGATTAGATTTGAAGGGGAGCAATGGAGAAAGCAAGGAAGAGACCGGTTACTAGGGTGTGTTTGCCTAAAGCTGCAAAAAGCTGAGCTGCTTTTAGGACATGCTCGTGTTTATTTCATCGGATAATCATCTCTCTGCTTTTGCTCTGCTTCTTTTCCCAGGCTTTCCTGGGATCCCAGCCCAACCAAAACCATTTGCAGAGTGCAGGTAAGAACAAGAAGTTATTAATTCAGTCATTGGGCAGATTCTTTCCTGCAGTGGTGATCTGAGACCATAGGCATGATGAACCACTGCTACTTGGCCTTCTTCCTTTTTTTCCATCACTTCTTCAGTCTTTTCTGTTGCCTCAATGTCTGTTTATCTCTTTCACCAACATGGCCAGACCACTTTTGTGTCTTCGTGTCTAATGCTCTTGCAGTTCCCTGCTCCTCCCACATATTCTTTTCTTTTCATCTGTTTCTCTGAAGGCCTTGGTCTTTTTTGCATATTCACCTTTCCTCTGCTCTAATACCTACTGAATTCTCATACACCCCCCTCTGAGGGTCCCAGCTGACGCCAAGCATATGGTGTGTTTTCCAGACACCTACCTGCTACTGCTTCTCATTTTGTACCTTGCATTTAACCTTCAGCTGTCGCTTCCCCCCTCTTCTTATTGTGCTTGGCAGTGGCTAGGAGGCAAATGACATGATGCAAAGTTTCTTTCTACCCTTACTCTTTGCCCCATGTGTCCTTACTGCAGAAGGGTTTTCTGAAAGTGTTATCTTCTTTTTGTTTATTCAGTGAATAGAGCTGTAACTGTTGTCCCTTTCTCAGTCTACTCTTCCCTTGTTATGGGCTGTAAAAAGTCCACCCTCACGCAGAACCTGGGTCTGTTTTCCCTCTTTTAATTTCAGGGTAATGAATGGAGAGATTTCTTCTTTTGTTAAAGAGCATATTAAATTAATTATTTGGTATTTTTACATTAGATATTTCACATGGCCACTGGAACATTGGCACCTACGCTTTCTCCCCAGAATAAGTTCTCTTTCCCTTCCTATACATTGGCCAAGTTCAGATAAGCCAGTTTGTGATACTGATGTGTGCAGGGAACATATATAAAATGAAATACAATGGCATTTCCCACCGCCCTGCTTTATAGAATGAAATTATAGCTAATTTTAAACTCTTCTCATTTTCACTCAATTTGGACAGGCAATTAATGTTCTAAAGAGCCTAGGATCAAATTTGAGAGTATCTTATTCAGGTAAGTGGGGAAGGAAGTGGTGGAGTGTACCACGCTCAAGTGGTGCTCCGAAATGAGTACATGTATTGGATGTACAGTAATGGGAACCAGTTCAAATTGTCCATGTTTGGGCCCAGATTTAACACTTTTCAAAGGTCTGTCTGAGTAGTTCTTTACTTCAGATCAAATTGTGGTTTAGATAGTGAGTATTATAAACATTCTTTGAGCAGTTGCCTTGAGGAGTGATAGAACTGAAATCAAGCAATGAATGGGGACTGCAGACACAGGAGGTGTTTCAGATAACCAGCTGGTACCCCCCCCCACTGAACTTCAGTGTGTGGTGCCTTAGGTGATGCTAACAGCTCCCTTCCTGTGTGCAGCATCCAGCGGCTGTGCTGTCGGACCCCTGGGCTATTACAATGGCTCGCTGGCGGTCACTGAGGCCGGGGCAGAGTGCCTCAACTGGGCAGAGTTCCCTGATTATGTCCAGCAGTACCCAGACCGTGGCCTGGGGGACCACAACCACTGCAGGAACCCAGATGGGGGAACGACACCCTGGTGCTTCTACCGGCTCTCGTCAGGGGCCATCGGCTGGTCCAACTGTGACTGTAACCAAGGTAAGGGCTGTGAGTCTCTGCCAGTGGCCAGGCAGCACTGCTCAGGGGCTCAGCCAGAAATGTGTGCTGCACAGACTTGCAAGTGGCAGGTGGAACACCCTGTGAAAGAAGCACAGTACAGTAACTGTTCCGAATTGTTGAAATAATTAGTACTAGAGGCCAGCCCGTGTGGGAGAAGAACGTCTGTATATAGTGGGGGGTGGATTTAAGCTGCTGTAGCTGTAATTCCTTGTATGGATGTTTTATTCTCATACAAGGAGACTTTTTTTTTTCCCTGCTAACTTATGCCGCTTTGAAAACAGTTTAAGTTATGTGGAAAACAACCCACTCCTGCTCCTTAAGTATCCGTATCAGAGCATTCCTCATGTAAGTGTAGCAGTTCAAATATAACAAGAAAAAATCTGTGGGTAGGTTTGTAAATCTTCTATAGCAAGGTAGGTCATAGGCTTGTGTTAAACTTCCTCAGTGCTGACACAAGGACTGCTGCTTACTTTGAGGCAAGCAAGAGAGCTGAGCTCTTTTAATGCACTGGCTGCCATGCAGCATTCTTGAAAATGTCCTCATGTTTTCTGACCTTCCTTGCCTTTCCTACATTTTGCAGAACAGTTGAAGCCCCAGTTTAATAAATGAATTGACAAAGTCTTTTCCCTTGCCAGTGGATGTGGTTTTAAAGATGGCTTCGTTAAAGGGAAGGATTCAAGTGTAGTGGTGCTGTGTGCCTGCACTGAGGTACTACAGACAGAAGGTGTGTCCTTCTCCAAGTATGTAACTGAGCAAGGAGATGTGCTGTCTAAACAGTGGCAGATATTTGTGGTGAAGGCATTTACACTGGCACTTGCTTTTCTTAGAGAAATTAAAGAGGATTCAGGTGCTGTTACTGAACATCTTGCTCTAGCAACCGTGACTCATACAGGTGAAGTGGTTGACAGAAATAGATCAGTGGAGTGTCAGAAGTAATTAGAGAGCCTGTCATTTCCATACACTTTTTCAAGGTAGCATGTAAAATCACCTCCATTTTGCAGAAGGAGAATCCAGGAGCTGTGGCAGAAGCCAAGTTTCCTTCTGATATTACCATGGCTTTGAAAAGAACCATAGCACCAGCATAGCACCAGCCATGCTCCTGAACAGCCACTGCTGGAACTGGGAGGCTGCCACATCCCACACTCGTTCATACAAGTCACTTTAGTGCCTGCACAAGCAAAACAAAGATGAGAGAAGCCAAGTGCAGTTCAGCACAACTACATGCAAGTCCAAGACTTGCTGGTCTGAAACTTCCATCAGCAGATAGCAGCTGGGTTTTTCATTTTTTTTATCTCTTTTGGAAGGTGCTGTGCGGTTGGCTGAAGATAGTAGTGTGGAGCTGTACTTCAGTGGACTCTGGGGTACCATCTGTGCTGACCACTGGACTGACTGGGATGCCAGTGTTGTCTGCAGGCAACTAGGTCTCAGGTGGGAACCTCAGTCTGGTTGCAAGAGTTACATGCTTGTGTGGCTTTTGAAAGAAAATCATCTGTGGTTACAGTCCTTGCGGCACAGTGTGTTGGCTGGGGGAAAGGAGTTTGTTTTGTGGTCCAGTTTTCCACTTTACAGGGTCCTTTCCTACTGTTTTCTTTCTGTGGCTATGCCCAACCCAATCAACATTTGCAAGAATTTTTTAAAACAATATTTTGTGCTTCATACTCCAGACTGTGATGAGTAAGCTGTGAGATTGCATCCCCTTTTTACTATCACCAGCTGCACTTACAGTAGCGATCTAATAGAAATTTTAAGAGTATGAACCCTCTTTGGGTATCTGCGATTTGGACGTTCAAATTTCCAAAAAGCAAGGAGATAAGGTCCACAGAGAAGGAAGAAGGTCAATCAGATATTTGGATGTTTGAGTCTATTGATGGGTTTGTTCATTGCTCTCAAATGAGGGTGCCATTTCTGTCTACACCAACTCCTCTGCAGTAAGTAGGCACACAAAAGGGTTAGGTGGTGGGAAGTGTTTTGTTCTTGCTTGTGCTTTCCCATTAGACTGTAAGTGACCACTCCTTTATGCCCTTCCAATCAACTGGGCACACTGGGAAATGAGATGTCACAACTAGACTGGAGAGTCACAACACTGAGGGAAGTTGTAAGTCAAGCTGTGCTACAGCATTTCATTGCTCTGTTGCATTCTCTGTACCAGTGAGATCGGCACAGCTGGGAAGAAAAGTCATCCTGGGCCATGGCCTGTTCCCTTGCACCTACAGTCAGCAAACTGCCATGGGGATGAGAAAGCTCTGCTGCAGTGTGGCTATCAGGAAGCTGTGTCAGGAGCTTGTAAACAGGGGAGTGCCACGGTAACTTGTGTTCCTCCAGAAGGTAAATATCCAGGGGAGGTTTGCTCCCTGCTTCTTCCATCAGTGTTGCTGATAACATGTAAAATCTAAGGTCATGAAGCTATGGAGAGAAAATAATTGGAAAATGTTCTTCTTTTACTTGCTATGTAGGTGGTTTTCTTCTTTCCACTGGAAAATTATCTATCCCTTCCCAATCCCAAATACTCAGAATGCGTATATGTCTACAGTCACTGAGAGATGACTGTTGTGTATGACCACATCCCCTTTTTATCAAGCCAGGTTTTTGTCTGCAGGCAGCAAACTCCCAGTCACCACAGCAGCCTGTTAGAGCCATCCCTGGAGCAGCAGTACCCCATACTGTGGACTGCAGTCACGGGAGCTTATGGGGGTCTAGGGAGGCGGGTGTGGTAAGAGAGCATCCCAAGAGCTCCTGTGGCCAGTGAGTGGTTCTACACCCTGAACTGCTGGATTTGTGTTGTCTCTGTCTTGTTCTGTTGTGCTCTCTTTCCCTTTCTTGAAGCACAGGTGTAGGTGCCCCACTGCGTATTGTTGGGGGGAAGGAGAGCTTTGAAGGGCGAGTGGAGGTTTACCACGATGGCAAGTGGGGCACCATCTGTGACGACCAGTGGGACGACCGGGATGCTGAAGTAGTCTGTAGACAGCTGGGACTCAGGTAATTTCCCTGCTGCATGTCATGGAGTAGCAATAGAATTAAGCAGAATGAAGAACATGAGAGCGTGTCCGTTCATTGTATGACCAACCCTTTCTATTGGAGATACAGAGAAACTCTGGGAAAGATAATTCTGGACTGATCATCCTATAAAGGGATTTTATACTTCATTCCGGTCAGTTTTATGGATTTATACTGTGAAAAAAAAAGTTGGTGCATCCCTGTCTAAGGATTGTTTGTGTTGACCCCTGTTCATTATTTTGGCAGACATATCCTAATGCAAACCTTGTTGGCCTCAGTGATAACTTGTCATGGTGATTTCCATATGTGGACTGCAGTTGCTTACTTGGTTGAGTTTAAACACCTTCAGTTTCACTGACTACCCTTTATCCTCTTCAGATGGGAAAGTAGGAGAGAGCACCTCATTCTTCTGCGTGCTGTTCCATGCTTGGGAGCTGTTTTATCCTTAGCATTCTTGAAAATCGCATTGGTACAGGATTATTTAAAATAGATGATTCAGGTTTGAGACCCCTCAAACTTTGGGAGTTTCACCTGTTACTGAGATTGTAAATGAGACTAATATTACATCATTTTCCTCAGAACTCTCCATGTGTCTGAACCGTTCATGTTGCAGGCACATTTTTGTTATTTGTTGGAAGGGCTTGTTACAAACTTTCCAATAACATATTTCTGTTAACAGATGGCAACTCCACTGTGTCAGGAACACGGGTGGTCTATGGGAGGACAGTGACCTAGCACAGGAGAGTCCCTGTGCAAGGCAGAATCTGAGGGCACAAGGCTGTGACCTTCCTTAGTGAGCATATGTGTTTGTAATGTTTGCAGTGGGACCCCAAAAGCCTTGTCATGGGCTCACTATGGGCAGGGATCTGGCCCAATCCTGCTGGATGAAGTGCAGTGCTCAGGCAATGAACTCTCACTTGACCAGTGCAAGAAGAGTGACTGGGGACAGCAAAACTGTGACCACATTGAAGATGCTGGGGTCTCCTGTGACCCTTTCACAGGTACAGATCTACAGCTCTGCCAGTCAGATGTGGTTGGTCGTACCCCCATATTGCGGGGCTGGCTCAGCAGGTAACCCTCTCATTCAGGGTTCTGCAGAGCTTCTATGTATGGCTCCCACAAGGGCTGCCAGATGGGGAGGCAGAGAGCAGCAGCAAATGGGAATGGACCAGAGGCAGACTTTGGGGCGTTCCCATTATTTTGTTCGATTGGTATGGAAAAGCTGAGGTGAATCCTTCCCTGACAGATGGGCATGTTCATGAACAATGAACATTTGTTTTTTTGAGTACCCAAAGATACCTGTGTCTTTGGTTTCTTTTGGTCATGAGCTGCACAGAGACTTAGCAATGGTGCACAGGCTGTTTCTTTTCCCCTCTGCAGAGTGCTGACCTTTCCTTCTCTCCCCCTTGCAGAGGGCACTGTCAGGCTGGCTGGTGGCCGCAGCCCCAGCGAAGGCAGGGTAGAAGTTTATTACAATGGAGACTGGGGCACAGTTTGTGATGATGGCTGGACAGACCTTGGTGCCCAGGTGGTCTGCAGGCAGCTGGGCTTCAGGTAGGACAGAGAGCGTGTGTAGTGTCTGTGCTTCCTAATTTCAAGGTTTAGATTCCATCACCCTTCACTGGGATAGGCTGGACCTTAATCCTTCAATGCTGTCTTTACTAGAAGGTTTATTACCATTATACAGCTTTCTGCATTTCAATTCCAGGTAACTGGTTCCTATAAAAAGAAGTAGAATTATTTAAATATTGATATTTTTGATGCCTTCTCTGCTAGTCCCTCCCCAAATTGATGTACCTGCTGTCATGTCTGCAAAGCAGCCTCTGCTGGCCCTCTGTACTATGACTGTGCCTTTGATCAGACATTAGAAAATGGACTGGAATGAAGCTGATGAGAGGTGAAGGTGCTTGGTTGCCATTTTGTGTGTTGCTGAGGGGTTCAGGTCAGGAGGCTCCAATATCATAGTTAAGCTCTGCAGGGGAGTTTCTGTTTGGGTCTGAGCTTGGGTCCCTCTGTGGCATTTAGAGTTTTAATGAATTTTGTGTTGTGTTCTGTTTCCTTCCTCTAGTGGTCCTGCTGCCCTGGCCTCTGAAGGGGACTATGCTGCTGGCCAAGGCTTTATCTTACTGGATGACGTGGCATGTGTGGGGACAGAGCTGTCCCTCCTGGACTGTCCCCACAGCAACTGGGGACAGCATGACTGCTCACATGCTGAAGATCTGGGAGTCCGCTGTTCCCCAGAAAGCAACACGGTCATGGATGGCAGCCTGGGTAACTCACCTTGCTCTTGCCCTGGATGGTGGGAAAGTGTCTGTTCCCTTGGAGGCTCTGGCAGATGTGGGAGTTTTCCCTGCGCTGTTTCAACGAGGGGTCTGCTTTCTGAGGAGGAATGAGCCCTGGCTGTCTTGGGGCAGGGCCATAGAGCTGTGGTTCCACCAGATCTACAGCCAGACCAGCAGATAAATGGAAACTGGAGAGAGTTGTGTTGGCAGCCTATGAAACAATCCTGAGGGGCTGAGGGACAGTGGATGCCTTTGTATGCAGGGACCCCTTCTTCAAGGGACTCCTTTAACTAGACCCTTTAGGAAACTGGTGTAGTTACAGTAGTGTCACACCTTGTCAAGACAAGAGGACTTTGGATGCAAGAGGCTGTGTTGTGAAAATTTGCACGTCCTTGTGTGGATGGCACACTTTTAATTCAAATTATGAGGGTATTTCAAGTTAGCATAATGTCCTCATTTATATAATGCCCGATACTCTCCCTTTTCTTTACTATGGGAGACTTTCCAGTTTGTCAGACATTTGTTATTGAAATAGTTGACATCCAATATTTTTGTTTTTCCTGAGTGTAGAACTCTTCTCTTGCTTAGAGTACTGTAATAGTTTTATAATTTAATAGATTTCTTTCCCAGGCATGTTTAAGCTTGTCTACTCTTGGCTCAGGAGTTAATAACTTTCCTTCTGTTCTTGTTCTCCTCTTTACTCAGCTTTCAGAATATGATCCACTGATGATTTCCAGTATGTATTAAATAAATTATTATGTATGTAGTCTTCTGATTCAACACAGAGGTAAAATGTCTTCATATAGACATACTTCTTTATTCCTTTTCTTTTTTTTTTCTAATCTTTTTGTTTTAAGCTTACTGATGTCTGGGATTCATCTTTTTCTGTAGAACCCAAGTTTTGGACACCTGACACTTCTGGTGGTTTTGCTTGCAGCAACCCATGTGTTTTTTCCTTCAGGGCCTCCCATACGGCTGGTGGATGGAGAAAGCACGAAGGAGGGACGAGTTGAGGTGTTACTGAATGGGCAGTGGGGCAGTGTCTGTGATGATGACTGGACAGACAGAGATGCCACAGTGGTTTGCAGGCAACTGGGGTTCAGGTAAGAGCTGTGGTACATGCATCCTACAGATAGAAACAGCTCTCAGGGGGAGCACTTCTTTCTGGACTTGTTTCTCAGGGCTTAGTTTCTTAGTTTTGGCATATGCATGAGGGAGTAGGGTCCTGTTCTCACTGTACTACTGTCTGTGTGTGCAGTGACACATAAGTATTATTCCTCTTAAAGTGTGCTGGTGCCTCAGGTTCACTTGCCTCCTGCTTACTGCAGATTAACCACCCTCTCTCTAATTGCAGTGGTACCGCAAAAGCCAGAGCAATGGCTTATTTTGGTGAAGGCCATGGGCCCATCCATCTGGACAACATAGAATGCAGTGGCACGGAGCACACCCTGGGGCAGTGTGCCAGGTCTGACACCACGATTCACAGCTGCTGGCACAGTGAGGATGCTGGTGTGATCTGTGACTACGTGGAAGAGAAGGTCCAAGATATCAGAAGAACAGGTGACATGCCCATTTCTTCTATGCAAGAACCTGGTGCTCCAGTTGTAGGATCTCTGCATGTTTTTATGATTTTTCCCTGTCATTCTTGTCTCTGGCTGAAACTGCACCTACAAAATAAGCATATCCTGTCCTGCATCTCCTACTTTTTCCTTGTTTTCATTGTCTCTTCTTAGGAGCACAGGGTGCTCCAGACTAGTCTGAGGAGCTCCACCCATGTCAGGCCTTTGAGCCTGCAGAACTTCCCCACAGCAAAGTACCCTTCCTTAGAACCCTGCAACCATGAGCAAGCTTTGATATTTAGAGGACTGATGATATATGTGTAGGTCTAGGTCCCATTCTTGGCATAAGACCATAGAGACTGCAGGTAAGCACCTCCACTGAAACTGCAGAAATCTATGAGACCAAATCTTCAATGAATTCCACATGCACAACACAGTGCAGTCGATTACCTTGAGGATTAATGCCCTCGGGGAAGGTGAATGGTATTTGGCTCTGTGACAGCAATGCTGATACTTAAGCTGAAGGTCCCTACAGAACTGCTCTAACTTCGCTGTGCAGGTCCAGAGTCTGGTGTGTGTGGGATGCGCCTTCTCCACCGTCGCAAGAAAAGGATCATAGGTGGAAACAAGTCTCCCAGGTACTACCCTGTAATTGTTGGGAGAGCCAGACTGATTCTGGCTTTCTATTGGGCTCTGGAAATTGCCTGGCAAATGTTGAGTACATTGATGCATTTTCACTGGTGATTTTTGAACTTGATTTGAACCAGTGGGCTTATCTAGGGAAGAATGCACACCAGCTGAGCCCAGATGGGGCAGAGTGGATGGGAAGAAAGGAAAACGGCTCCCATGTGTGTGACATCTGTTATTTCTCTGTTTCTCCTTCAGAGGTGGTTGGCCATGGCAGGCCTCACTTCGGCTGAAGGGTTTTCGTCGAGATACTCGTCTGCTGTGTGGGGCAACAGTGATCAGCAGCTGCTGGGTGGTGACTGCAGCCCACTGCTTCAAAAGGTGTGTTTGGGAGTGGGGAGCCCCGAGGGATACTCAGTGATGAACAAGATAACCTCATATGAGTTTATCCTCCCAGCCCAGTGGAACCACATGAGCAGAGTTTATAAACCAAGACCTTCAGGTTATGATCTGTGTGATCTTGGAGTACTTGTGGGGATGACTCAACATTGACTTTCTTTATCCTTCACTGCTTACACCTGGCCTTTTAGCTCTGAGGCTTTTCAGCTTAAAAGGAACCAGCATTTTGCCATTCTTAAGTGCTTTAAAAGAACTGTGAACAGATCAGTTCACAAGCCTGTTGTAACTATTATAGCCATCTTAACAGGAAAAAAGTCCTGTGCATGATAGATGGTGACTGGGGACACCCATTGACTGCAACAGCTGGCACCATCAGATCTGCTAAAGAGGTCCCACGGTCCTGCAGCTGGCACTGATTTATCAGCGTGGTGTGAGGAGATGGTTCAGTCTCATAGCAACTGAGACTTGTTTCCCTCTTAGTAGGAGATCCTGAGTCTCTTTTTCTCCAGGTTCGGTGTTGATGTGCGGCGCTACCTGCTGCGGGTGGGCGATTACCACACGGGCGTGAAGGATGAGTTTGAGAGGGAGCTGCCCGTGGAGCGGATTGTCCTGCACAGGAACTACTGGGCTGGCAGCAATGACAATGACATAGCCCTGGTCCGGGTGAGGGGCAGAGAAGGGCACTGTCTGTCCTTCAATCGCCATGTTCTGCCCGTCTGCCTGCCCGACAGGAAAGAGAGGTCTGACATCAACAGGCAAGCCTGTATCATCTCCGGCTGGGGAGACACAGGTGAGTGGTGGTGCTTTGAGGGGCAAGAAAGGTGGAGGAGTCTGGGTTCAGAAGCCATTAATTTATATCAGCTCAAGGCTGTGTTCTCACTGCTTCCATTGTCTGTGCCAGTGTGTGGTGTTTAGGAGTGGGGAGGTGAGGTGGTTTTTGTGCCATTGTGTCATCTTCTGATTTTGAGGCTTTTCAAGTCTGCTCATGGTGGAAGCTTTGGTTTCCATAACATCGCTCTGAAGCAGAGACCAATGCTGCTGTCTGGCCACAGTCCTCTCTTTCTTCCCATTTCTGCACATGTTTTTGTCTACAGCAGACCCCTTAAGGAGCCTGTGCAGAGCTGCTATACCAAGCCTGTGGGAAGCCCTCATGTTTCCCTGATCTCCTGCCTTCTTCATGATACTGTAGTAGTGAAGTGGGGCTTGGAAGTGAGGTGGAAGGAATCTCTCAAACTCAACCTCCCTCAATATTGCTGCAGGGACAGATGAGCTCTGAGGCTGGTTTCTGCACTGGATTCAAACCAGCTTGTACCTGTCCACTGAGCACATTGCTATGAAGCTTCCTAGGTTAAAGAGAGCTGGGACGCCTTTCTGGGGCTGCTATGACTGGAGCAAAGCCATATGTTTATCAAGACTTGCTGTCAAAAGCCCCAGGAGCTTGTCTGTTGACTTGGGACTTGCCCATCCTTACCAGCTTTTTCTCTAGCTATTACCCCAACTGTTTAACTGCAAGTACACATTTGCCTTTGGAGTCAGTTGTGCCAGTTGCACATGTCACTTCAGGATGTCTGGCGAGGATCAAGGAGCAACTTAGCCATGTAACTAACTTAAGCTGTGCTAGGGCTTAGTGGCTAGAATCCCTCCCACGCACAACACCCAGCTTTCCAAGAGAGGAGCAGTTACCTACTACCTTGTGAACTTACATAAACCTTGAGCACAGAAAGGTCATACTCTAATATAGCACATGAGCCTCATGTTCTGAACAACCTTGGGGTAATAGAGAGATTTGATCAAATAGAGACAAATCTGGCCAAAGATGAAGTGAGCTCCTTTTGAATAATATTTCAATGCCTCTGAAACATCTTCTAAAACTTCTCTGAGGATTGAGCATTTAACAGTTATTACTGCATTTATTCACTTGAGAAAACACTGTCCTTGTTTTACTGAGGAGGAAGTGGAGGTTCTGAGAGGTGAAATAAATTGAATAAGGTTCAAGTTACTTGTTGGCAGAACCAGGAGTAAGACTCATCCTTTGATCTAACCTTTTTCTCCAAACCTCTTCCCCATATCTTTGATCTTACAGCTCTTTTTTTGTGGTCTGGCTTGGCATCACTGTTTTCTGCAGTTCTGGTGGTTCAGAGATGCTGAGCTCAGCGTATTTCTGTGCTGCAGACTTGACATGAAGTGTACAGGTTTTTGTCGGGAGCACTGTTGCTCCAGGTCGCTGCTGTAGTCTGCACATGAATCAGTCTGGCTGGTCTGTTCTGTTCCAGGGAAGTCCTATTCAAGAACGCTGCTGCAGGGGGTGGTGCCTCTTCTCCCACGGGAAGACTGCGAGGTCCGCTACGGGCAGAAGTTCACTAACCGCATGATTTGTGCCGGGAACCTCTCTGAAGATAAACGAGTGGACAGCTGTCAAGGGGACAGTGGAGGGCCACTCATGTGTCAGAGGTCAAATGGGCGCTGGATCATCTTGGGCATCACTTCCTGGGGGTATGGCTGTGGTCGGAAGGATTCACCCGGTGTGTACACAAAGGTCAGCAAATTTGTACCCTGGATCAAGAGAGTGACCAAGCTAAAATGAAAATGACTGGGCTCTAGGAACTTCAGCCTATGGTCCTTTTGCCCTGCAGCAGCAGAAGGCTGTGGCTTCTGGTCGTGACTGATGGAGATTTATTTTGTCATTGGACACTGGCAAAGGACTTTGATGTAGAACTGGAAGAAAACCAGTTATGACTGATGCTTTAAAGTCTTTGATTTCACTTTAGTCTGTAATCTGTAAGCAGAGAAAGCAGGTGCACACTGGTAACAATGATAAGTATATGTTGCCCTAAGTATCTGAGTCCTGTAATGCAGTGACACTTGTTCCTTTGCCCTGGCACACAGAAATAGTAGAAGCAGAGAGATACCTGCCACTGAAAATCTATTCCTGTTTGTATGTTTGGACAGTTGAAAAATGCTGCAAGGAGAGGTGAGATGTTTGGAAGATGGCACCGGGTGCTGGCATAGTGGAAATCTTCAGATATTTTTTCATAACAGCTCTCTTCAATTCCAGGAATCAGAAGATTTGAGCTGAGCTGGGGTTTTTTTTCTTCCCTGTTATGTCTCTAGGGGGAACCTTTTCTCTTCTGAATAGTACGTCTGCTTCCATATGATCCCTTTCAAGTGTCTGCCCTTGCTAAGAGATGCTTGTCCTTTCTGCTGTAATCCTCTGTCACACATTTCTAGCTGCCAGATGCTATGGTTTTTTTTGCTGCTTTCTCACTATAGTGGTTCTTTGTGTGTGTTTGTTTTCTTCCTTCCTTAAAGTAGCATCTCCTAGTTGTTGGTGTGGGAGTAAATCTTCATTTTTAAGAGACAGTAGGTTTCTTGCCCTTATGATTACTGTGAAGAACTTAAAAATACGACCTCAAGTGGCTGAATAGACATGTTATTTTTCTTTAAATCCAAATGTAATGTTAATCTCAAACATTCAGGTGTTGAATCATGATTTAACAGCACTGTGGGGACTTCCTCTTGGTAGCTTAATCACCACAGTTAGTAGCTGCCCTTTACTTGTGCTGTTAGTCTTTAATATCTCTGTGTTCACAGTTCTCCCATGAAACGTGGAATTACTCCTGGGGTATAGATACACCTCAAGCAAATTACTCACTCCTTGTGAAAAACAGTAAGTGTGCTGCAAAGCAGCTTCCTGCTTTCCTGAAGTGTGTCCTATTCTCGAAACCTCTGGGCTATTCGTTCTTTTTTTCTCTTCTTTGCACTATTTCTCTTTTCGTTCCTCTCATTGGGAGTAAATTGGCTTAACTCAAGGGTATGCAAGCACTGTCATCAAGCTGTAGTTCTCAGCCTGAACAGAAATAATGCTGAGAAAAAGCAGGGATTATTGAATACTTCAATTTCTTCCTTCCATCTCATCCAAACAAATGAACAGAGTTCCCTCTTATGCCTTAAGCAGTTTTTAAAGTTAATTTATTATTCTTGAGTAGGTAAAAAAATATAAAACTAGACAGAAGGGCTAAGTGCATTAACAGCTGTGCAGTGCACAGTGTCTTTTCACTGTGTATAGATAAGCCAGAGAGAAGACAGGTCTGCTCAGGAGCAGAAAGCTTTGATGTGTAACAAAGGACCTGAACGTGGAGTAATAATACGAGATGGGACACGTGGAACTTGTGCCAGATGTGCATGTTTTGGGTTTGCTCATGCACTGCAGGGTAGGCAATCACTGGGTCTGGCACTGACCTGCTGCCTGGAAGGTCTGCACTCAAGGCACAGAGGTGTTCAGTATCTAGGCATTACAAAGGCAAGAACAGAGGGCAGAGCACAGCCTGTGGATTAGCCTTGTCATGTTACAGGGCATGTGGTGACAGAGTTCTAGAAATCACCTTGGATTCAATAAGTAGTGATTGCCTAAAGCTTTAATTTGTCTTCTGTAAAATAGCTGAGCTGGCTGATTTTTGTGTAAGAATGCTAAACTAAACAGTTCCATTTACCCTCTCCAGGGGTTATAGAAAAGTTGGGTTACCAGTATTGGAATGGACTGTTTAAAGATCCTGCTTGGAAACTTTATTTTAACAAAGAATTGTAGAAATCTTTAAAACATGCAATGTCAGAACCCCTGCAAACTGGCCTTGGAGACAAACCTGATCTGTTTGTGCCTCTTCTCGAGGTCCAGAGTGTCTTCAGTGCAGCTTGTGCTGGTAACCCTGTCTGAAGTGCCAGGCTTGATCCCTTGGCAGTGCTGTGCCTGGCTCCATGCTGGCTGTGTTGTCCTATGGCTGCTGGCAGAGAGTCTCTGAGATGCAAGCTGCAGACTGCTCCTTATCTCCCAGGAATTAAAATGGCAGGAGGACTGAAGGCAATTATGTCACAGCCCTCTGGTCTTGTAGGGGATTAAATGCCAAGTTCCACACTGGCAGCAACAGTACCTGTCTGGGAAATGTAGAGGGATTTGGCTTTTACCTTCTGCCTCCCCTGAGCCAGCATGGGCTCAGCAGCTGAAATGGAGTTTCTGTGCCTTGCGTGCTGTCACATTTCTAGTTTAACTTGGTTTGATCTTTTAGTTTATACCCATAACCCCAACAGGCATCGAAACACCAAAAGGACTGAAACTGTGAGGTTATTTCCCTAAGACTACTTAGCAGATGGCCATTCAGGAGTTACAATAAATTACCATGTAACACAAGTGAGACACAGGCCTTGCATTGTCTTGTGAAATTCCCATGTTCTAGTTCAAAATATTTCTTTCTCCCAGATCTTATCACCGTGAAATCTTTGAGAATCCTTGTAATTAACATACCCTGAGTCCTGCATGAGCTGAGGAGAGAAGAAAGTATCCAATCTCCTTCCACTGCTTTTACACCCTACTGGTGCTGTAGATGAGCCTGCCAATACTCTCTTCCATTGTCCTGTTTCAGAGCACCACTAGTGCTCTTTGCTGTTTAATCTAGGACTGTGGTCCGAACTAAACTGTGCCATGCCACTGAGGCTTACTGGATCTGCCTGGCTGGATGAGCAGCACTCAGCCACCATAGGACTGTATTTTGTAATATTAGCAAGCAGCAGATATTCCAAAAGGTAGTACGTGTGAGTTTGTACTGAACAAGTTTTAACAACCTTTCCTTTTGGAGAATTTTGTTCTTGACCCATTTAAATTAATTGCTTGCATTACTATTATTATTATTATTATTATTATTAAAAATTGAAGTACAAGTACTTGGTCCCGTAGGTGTTGTTAAAACACTATGCACTATCCTTTTGTAAGTCCTTTTTTTTCTAAGTATAAGAGTTTATATCCCTAACTTTTAAAAAACTATTTAATGTAACCAGCCTTCATCTTCCATATAAATGTTTAAATTTTTAATTTTGTGTTTAATCAAACTAAGCTCTCTGTCGCAATATTTTCTGGCAATGAAAACCAATGCAGTTTTATTCTCCATAGCACATAATTTCTTTTTATGGTTCCTGAATTTATTGCCTTTTGTTTTTATCGAATCCCATTTGTCCTTGTGTTCTCAGCCATGAGACAAAGTAAGGAGCCTGGTTTTATATTCTCTGTTGTTCATTACTCTAGAGATAGTTCTTTTTCTCAGACTGTGGCTTCTCTGTCTCTCTTCAACCCAAACTGTCTAGGTGTCTCATAACATGCTGAACTATCTTTCCATGTCTTCTCTTTCTGCTGGATCTTTAAACTTGGGTAACCAGAACTGAATGCAGTTTGCCAGGGGAGGCTGTGTCACCTGCTGATTATTTGAGTACGATTTTCTATAGTAGGCAATGCTGTAAGTGATTTTAGTGCTGTATGTCTGTATGCTGGAGCCAGCCTTAAATTTGCCAGTGCGATCTTTGCGGCAGCCTTGTTATAAAGGGATGAAAACCCACTGAGGTTAGTTCTCCCCGTGTCTCAGGCAGGTGCAGCAGTTGCTCTGAGCCCACAGCAATTGCTGCAGGTATATCTGGGGACCTCTGGGCAGGGAGCACCTGTGGAGCTTTGCCTTGGCTGACAGACTGGTAGGGCTGGTTCAGTCCACCTTTGCAGCATCACTCTGTTGGATAAGGCTAATGCAGATACACTGTTTCGGGGAGCTGAGAGCTCAGGCAGTGTTGCTGGTGGCTGCACTGTGCCATGTGGATGCTGTGAGACAGTTTCCCATAGCAGTGTGGCACATGCTGGTTATGTGAGAAAGGGAACATCACTATGACTGGCTAGGAGCATTGGCAGAAGGAGAAATGTGGTTGTGGTAGGGGCCTAAGGAGCAGCTATTAGTGCTCCAGGTATCCCTCTTTGAGGGAAACCCCCAGTGCTACAAAGGCTAACCCAGTGCTGGTGTCATCCTGACCTGCAATGCCTGCACTGGTGACCATCCATGCTTTGGCCATCTGAAGCTGGATAAAGATTTATCCCTTTGCTGTGGCTGAACACTGTTCTGATGATTTCTATTAATTATGTTCTATGTGGTAATTAATCAGGCAGCTGTTTATTAACCTGAACAGGATGTTGATTACCCTTGTAATCCTTGTACACTTGTAGCAGAGAATAACAGATCAGTTTTTCAAAGGCATTAGTGGAGGCATTGGTGAGGAACCAGGAATGTGGATATTTGCTGTCTCAGGGGTAAGAGATGTAGGTCTGCCTTTTGTCTGTCTTCCTTTTTTTCTGAAGCCAATATCCTGAAGTTTCTTCACCCCAAAAGAGCTGAAGTGATCCATCAACCACTTGAAGACAGATTTTTATGTGTATATTCAGCAATCAGTCGAAAGCTTTTGAGAGATGAACTGCACTGTGGTATTTAACACTATCCCGATAGACTTGCTGGGAGTTCCTTGCAGATGGAGGGACCAGAATCACCTCTGGTGGTAACCTACTGCTCCTTGTAGAATCAGGCACTGTGACATGGACCAGTGCATGTCTCCTGGGCTCTATTTTTACTTGTTTGGGAAAATATTTAATTTTCCACATCAAGAAGAAAAACTCATTTGTGTAATAGCCCATTCAGTCCTATTAAAATCCCTTTCTACTGAACAGGGGCTGAGTACCTCTGAAGTCAGTCAAGTGCCAAAACTGTCATGTCCCTTGGATCAACACCAATGGCTCACAAGGTATGCTAATAAATGGATTATACTGTGACTGTGTGGGGCTCTGTCTTATTTTTAATAAAGGAATCTGTTCCAAGGGCAGGTTTTAGGATTTTTTTCAGCACTGAATTAAACTAATTAAATTTCTCTATTAATGTTATTTTTAGAGAAGCTTCAACATGCTAAAGCATGTTACAAAGTCAGCATCATGTTAGCTGCCACTACAATGAAATGCAACAGTTCTTCAAAGGCCACATTGGAACAGGTAAGGAGCAGGTCAACATTGCACCTAACAGACTTTATTTAATATATCAGCTAATTTGTTGTTATAGGTGGTCTTTCCATACAAACTTGTTCAGTATGGCTTAGTCTCCCTTCAGTCTAGGATTCATGTGTCACCGCTCTAAGAGGCAAAGCCAGCCTCTGGAAAAGTGGAAATGGGAGAAGGGAAATGCAGTCTGAATGAGCCATCGATTCAAGAACACTGTTGTACTCTACCTCGCCGCCCCACTGCTGAAACTTGAATTTCTGTACAAAAAGGCTTTTTTGAAACATAGTCCAGCTCCTTGCAAGGTGTGTCCTGACTTTCCCAAGTTATTAGAGTTAGACTGGGGCTTGGTGTAGCTGATGCCTGCAGACTCCAAGTATTATAGTGTGTAATTTTTTGCATGTACTGACTCCAGTCTGCTGTTGGGAACCGACATGCACTCACTGGAGATAGAACTGCTTGTGGTTATCACTTTCTTTGCTTCATGTCTGCCTTTGGGGTTTTCTAACCCACCTACATTTCCTCTCTTGCTTGTGCAAAACTGGGAAGCAGAGTGCAGGCATTTTAGTTGGCCTTCCATGTGTCAGTGGGCACTGGTTCATCACATCAGTTCTGCAGTGCTCTTCTGTAGTCACTGCCAGGGAAAGAAATAACCTTGAAGCTGAGCTGTGGTTAAGGTTACAGGTCTGTCAAATGTTGTTTTGTATTAAAGCATTTGGCTGCTGCCTTCATGTGGTAAAAAGGCTTGGGAGGAGTGTTTGGCATGAGTTTACTAATTTCAGATTAACAGCTGTAGGATAGCTTTGGATTTTAAACTGAAATATGAATCAGGAGAAAACGGGGCTTTACTTCATTCTTTACTAGGATTGCTACCATATTCTCTGGGAGACAGGAAAGAGGGCATTCAGGTATCACTGTTGATAATAAAAAATTCTCACTTGGGTATGATTTCCTCCTTCTAATGGAGGAAGACAGGATACTGCTGAAGCTGCCTTGCATTGCTGGGCTGGGTCCTGTGCCACTCTTAAACTGGCCTGTCTAGAAGGGGTACCTAGCTTTGTTAGGAGGTTTCTGTGAAATTCTGTTCACACTGCAAAAGTGAGAAGAGGTAGTAGAGCCAGCAAAATGGATTTTTAATTATGTGGATGATCCAGTTGGAGTCATGTATTGTTTAGAAAAAACCTTGGAATTAAGATGTGCTAATGGAGGACAGGCATAGGACAGACAAATTCAAACAATTTGGTGAAACACATTCTGCCAGAAAGAAAAGGTACCCTACTCTTTGCAGATTTTCAAAATTGGCCTGTCACTTGAAAGGAAGAAACAATTGCCTTGGATCAGCTTTACCAAAAGGAAGCTGCGAAGCTGTGTGGCTCTGATGTCAGATAAGCAAGAGGCCTTGTTCCTCCTATCCCTGTAAATCTGCACTGGCCTTCATTGCAGACATCAGGGCATCTGCAGCTCCAGGGGCTGAGCTGGAACAGATGGAACTCAGTGCTGGACTCAGGTTCAGTTGCTACCCAACAGAAGAAAGAAGCGGGCAGGAACTAAAATTTCAGCAAATTAATCCTGTTGAGAGGTGTTTGCTGAGCATGTTTTGATTCCCAGCCTGTGCCAGCCCTGGGGCTCAGGAGTGTGTCAAAGGTTTCCATGAGAAGAGGTCATGCAGTGCTGTGCTGTCCTGTTTGCTCACATGCTGGCCTGGACAGTGGGCCCTTGTCACTGCGAAGACAGGTAGTGTGGGAGAGATTTAGCGTGACACTGTAACTGGACAGCTCAGCTGAAACCACTTTAAAAGTTTATACTTCTCTGTTATTTTCTTCTGGGAAACAGAACAAAACCACTTCATATAACAACAAAATCCCCTTCTTTGTAATTTAACTAATCTGCTCTGCTTAAAACTGAACTGTATACAAAGGAGAAAATGTGCCTCTAAAGGTTAGTTCCTTACTCTTTTCCCCCCTCCTCACTCACATGTACAGGCTTGCTGGAGATAAAGTAGGATTACAACGTCCAGTTGTGGGATGGAGACCTGTTTAAGAGGGCATAAGTGTACTACTATTCATACCACTGAACACTGTGGTTTTCTAGAACCAGTAACCAAACACACTGGAGGAAAGCTCCTTTG